CGCGCGCGTGTGTGTGTGTGTGTGTGTGTGTGTGTGTGTGTGTGTGTGTGTGTGTGCTGCGTCATTGCTCGCTGCCCGGGGGGCTGCGGTGAGAAGTTAGCGGGGAGCCGGTCTCTGTTTCCAGATGCCAAAGGCCGAAAAAAACTCGCTGCATCGAATGGCAGTTTCTATTTCATTATTTTCAATTTTTACGTATCAGTGGAAGCAACGCAATTCGGTTATTTTCACACTCTCGTAAGAGGAGGCCCACCCAGCTCACCACTTTTTTGAATTGCAGTTTCTTTTTCTCCAAATTGTTACATATCAGTGGATGCGACGTGATTCGGTTATTTTCACACTCTCGAAAAGTAGAGGCTGGAACCGCCTCACCACTCTATTCCACACGCGCGTTAGAAGAATTCTCTCCATCATGTCGGCTGTCAGGCAGAATAAAGACCTCCCGCCCACGCAGCAGCACTTCCCGCGTTCATCCGCGATGGCTAATTCACGTGAGTTTTTCTTGCTGACTGCAGGTCAATGGTCTTGTCGTGTACGGACGCAGTCACCTCAACGCGTCTGCGATGATAAAAGGGCTCAAAGGCAACATCATCAAGATCATTTTGCTGAGGTAACGGCGCGCAGCGATTGCTCGATGATTCTCGTATTACTGCTGTTGCGCTTTTCGTGATGCTCTTCGTCGTCGTAGCTGCCGCGAAGGCAGGGGTGTGTACAGGATTTGTACCAGGGGGGGGGAAGTCTAACCGTAACCCAAACTTGCAAGCACGCGAAGGGGGGGTCTGGGGGGCCCTCCCCCATAATTTTTTTGAAATTAGACTCCCTTAGATGCGTTTTCTGCGCTAGCAGGGGGGGGGTCCGGACCCCCTGGACCCCCCCCGCTGTACACGCCCCTGGAAGAATTTCCGTCGGCGTTAGCGCGTCGTTATTGTAACGCAGGCGCGTGTGCCATGATGGCGGTGGCTGTGACGTCATCGCGCCAGACGAGCAGAACTCGTATCAATCGTGACGTAATTCACAAGGAGGCGAGAGTGTGGGAGAGTGGAGGAGAGGAGTAGGAGGAGGAGGAGGGCTTGACTCAGTGTCCACTTCACAGAATCGAGCGCTGGCGTGCGTGCGGTGCCTGTAACGGTTAAGGTTGCATCGGAGTCGTAGGCAAACGATCAATTCATCTCCACTGTCCTCTCTTCTGTTTCCTGCCTCCACCATGATCACCACTGATGGGCGAATGCTTAGAATGCCCGAATTCTCTGCATATTCTGTTAATCCGAGATCTATGGTCTGGTATAAAGAGTATAAAAAGTTAGAATGACCCCCCCCCGCCCCTCCTCGTCGCGTCGTTGCCTACGCATTCACGTGGCAGCACCGTCGCATTCGAAACGGGAACAATGCTGCCATGTAAATTTTTAAACCCGGCGCCCTTTGCTGTGACGTTTTGTTGTAGTTTCACTAGTAAAATTCACTCTGCTCGCTATAACTGGCCGCCCGGGTGGTCATGAAGGACTGCTGTGAGCGTTTGTTAGTCTGAAAGTGCTATAACTACGTGAGGCTCAATGGGTCGTTGTCGTAACAGGTACTACAGATATGTACCCGAGGTACATATATGTATACACAAAGTGTACCAGACTTGTACTACAGAAGTGTACCCTAACCCTAACCCTAACCCCTAATCCTAACCCCTAACCCTAACCCCTAAT